TCCTTGCAGCATTTTAGCAAATATCTTCTAGGGCGGAAATTCCACTTACGAACTGACCATGCTGCACTGAAATGGCTATTGCAGTTCAAAAATCCGGAAGGACAAGTTGCGAGATGGATAGAACTACTGCAGGAATACGACTTTGTGATCGAACATCGCAGCGGGAAATCTCATGGCAATGCAGATGCATTGTCAAGAAGACCTTGCCCGGAAGATTGCAAGCATTGTACTAGGCAAGAGGGTAAGGAAGTGGTATCTGTGAGAATGCTCAGGACAGACCAGCTCAGCAATGAGTGGAAGGACAGCCTACAGCATGCACAGCAGGAAGATTCGGACATTAAGCCGATTCTGGAATGGATGAAGGCCAGTGCTCCTAAGCCCAAGTGGAGCGACGTCTCAGCAATGAGTTCGACCACAAAAAGCTATTGGGCCCAATGGGACAGCTTGCTGATTCAGGATGGAGTCCTGTGCCGTAAATGGGAAAATGGTCGGGGAGACAGGTGTCATTTGCAAATGGTTGTCCCTAAGGCTAAAGTGCCGGATATTCTACAGCTGTACCAGAGTGGTTGTTCAGGAGGCCACCTGGGAGTTAAACGAACTCTCCTGAAGATCCGAGAACGGTTTTACTGGGTCCACTGTCGTGACGATGTCCAGGACTGGTGCCGCAAATGTACAAGTTGTGCGGCTGTAAAGGGACCTCAAATTCGTAGTAGGGGCGCATTGAAATTGTACAATGTTGGTGCACCATGGGAGAGGATAGCCATTGACGTTGCGGGGCCGTTTCCAGAAACTGAAAGTGGTAACAAGTATTTCATGGTCGTGATGGATTACTTCACTAAGTGGCCAGAAGTCTTCGCCATTCCAAATCAAGAAGCTTCAACCGTTGCAGATAAACTAGTTCATGAAGTCTTCTGTCGTTTTGGAGTACCTTTAGAGATTCACAGCGATCAAGGAAGGAATTTTGAGTCTCAAATATTCCAGGAAACTTGCCGAGTTATGGGTACTCAGAAAACACGAACAACTTCTTACCACCCACAATCTGATGGAATGGTAGAAAGATTTAATCAGACATTGGAGAGGTACCTAGCAAAAGTTGTGGAAAAACGACAACGAGACTGGGATAGGCACATACAACCGTTTTTGTTGTCATATCGAAGCGCTGTTCAGGAAAGTACATCAGTGACACCAGCTTACGTAAACTTTGGGAGAGAATTGCGGCTGCCTGCAGACCTGATCACCGGAATACCACCTGATGCCCCACGCAGTATAACCGATTATGCAAATGACTTGCGGAACAAAATGAATGACATTTATGAGCACGTCAGACAGACGGGCCAGCAAACGTCTGAGAAGATGAAAACACGGTATGACCGCAAAATGAACAACAAGGGGTTTGATGAAGGTTCTCTAGTGTGGTTACACAATCCAGTTCGCAGCAAAGGGAAATCTCCTAAGCTTCAAGCTAAATGGGACGGACCGTACCGGATTGTGACAAGGATCAATGACGTAACCTACCGGATACAGAAAGGTGCCAGAGGTACTCCTAAGATTGTCCATGTGGATCGACTGGCGCGTTATTATGGGGCCAATAATGCTCGGGACGAGCATGTCTTAGGAGGGGGCAGTGTTACGCGCCACTATTAATGTCTTGTACATGGCAACACTAGTTACACTAGCGCCCCCTAGTGTCGAGTAAATGAAAGTATTGCGCGCCACTATTAATGTCTTATACATGGCAACACTAGTCACACTAGCGCCCTCTAGTGTCGAGTAGCAGAACTAGGAGAGTCGAGATCCTTCCAGAAATTTCGGGACCGATATGTACTCGAACATTCTAGATGTCGCTACAGTAGAAGGTTCTGGAAACTATCTGAGGCCCTATATAAGACCGGTATAGACCACGACCGGGGAGTATTGAATTGGCGATACAAGAGAATACTTCGAAGCGAAATAACGGCGAACTGTGTTTTATTAGTGTGATTTTAGATTGTAATTAGTGTTGTGTAATTAAAGTGTCAATTTTGGTAATTCAATCGGCAGTTTTTAATTGTCTCGAACCCCAAGCTCGTAACAGTATCATATTAGTCTGTGGTCTGTGCTTAGCTGCTTAGTCAGAGAGCGAATTTTGGAGCGGCTGGACGTCAAGTCACCTATTTTTAACTTCCCGCTTTGAAATTTAATAATTTTCATAAGTAAGCATCATATTAGTCTGTGGTAGAGAAAGTTACAGATTTCGATCCGATTTTGAGCATGTGAGTTTTCATCAGATCTCCATTTTTTGAGTTCTTAGGAAGCCGTTCGGACTATTTCCGGCTGTACGTCCGGCCGTGTGTGCGTGTGTGTATGTATGTAAATAAAATATCGTACGACAAGTACGATACCCGTAGAACGAATCAATCGATCGAGATGGGCGACTTCGAGTTAAAAAGATTTTCAAGTCAATCGGTCGAGCCGTTTCAAAGATTCTCAAAGAATAAAAACAAAAATTAAATAGAAAGTCGGGACGTTCCAGGGATGGCTCTAAGGGTCAACCGTTTTCAGATTATTTTTATAGAATACGAGTGACAAACGAGCACACAGCCCACCTGATGGTAAGTGGATGCTGTAGCCCATAGATATATCCTCGATTAAGAATCAAAATCGTCACAAGATAGAATGCTTCGTTTTCAGTAAAAAGGTCTCCGGTTCTCTATACTCACCATACGAAATACAGCAACATTAAGCTGCAATTTTACGCTGGTATTCTGTGAGAGCGTGGTCCTACCCCGGTCGAGCTGACCCATTCATGTTACAACCATGACATAGCTGCAGCGTGGCTCTACCACGTAAAAATTTATTCTTTGTACTTGTAAAAATCACTCAAAGTGTATTCTGGTTGTTGAATTTTGACGAGTATACCGTCCAATGAACCACAACAACCAAGAAAGTTCCAACGATGATTATATCCTCTTTCAATAGACTTCCATTCCTCTGTTGTTTTCATCATCATTCGTACATCAACATAGGCCTCTCTCAAAAAATGCCACAAAGCACGGTCCCGAGCCACCTGCATCCATTGACTTCCTGCATGTTTTACCAGGTCGTCACTCCATCTGGTGGGGGGACGCCCTACACTTCCCCTGGCGGTACGAGGCTGGCACTCGAGAACCTTTCTTCCCCATCGGTTGTCGGTTCTTCGAGCTATATCACTATATGGCCGGCCCATTGCCACTTCAGCTTACTAATCCGTTGGGCTATGTCAGTTACTCTGGTTCTACTGCAGATATCCTCGTCCAGCCGAGTTGAATCCGCCGATTGACCTCTCGGTCGAAGTTGGACTTACCTAGTCGGACTATTTGTCCCAGGTGAACATACTCGTCAACAACTTCGAGCTTATTGCTCCCAACAACTACCCACATAGGTGTGACATGGACGTTACACATGACTTTTGTTTTGTCCATGTTCATCTTAAGACCTATTTGTTGGGAGACACAATTAAGGTCATTGACCGACTACATCATCGGCAAATCGAAGGTGAGTGATGTACTTGCCATTGACGTTAATACCGTATCCTTTCCAGTCCAATAGCTTGAAAACGTCTTCCAATACATCGCTGAAGAGTTTCGGGATATAACATCACCCTGTCTTACACCTCTCTGCAGTTGGATAGGTTTCGTACTCTGGTTCTGTACTCGGATAGCCAGTGGCCCTTATATACAAACAGTTCAGCACTTCGATATACCGACTGTCAACTTGGCACCGCTGAACGGATTGGTGCACCGCCAAAATGTCGTTCTCATAGTCCACATACGCAAGACATAGTGGCAGATTGTACTCTTCGGTCTTCTGTACAATTTTCCGAAGGAGTGCTAAAGCCCTTTGGGAATCCGGCTTGTTCCGTTGCCCTATTTCAAATTTCCCTACCTTCAGCTTACCGTTCTCTTTTGTGCCTAATTTTGCGTTGAAGGCTCCCATTAACACCGTATAATGGGTTTTGGTGGAATTCATGGCTTTAAAGTTATCCTAAAGCCATGAATTCCTACAAAAAAAAATTATTCCTCCACCTCCTCATCGGGATGTGCCGAGGTTGATGCGTAATCCTGTGTAGCGACATGACAAAAAACGTAGACATTGCCATAATTGGTCCAGCAATATTTATAATCCGTAGATTAAATTAAATCACTGGCAATAAAATAGAGTCTGGCAGATTTAGCAGTTAATTGCTCAGATACAAATATTGGGGTCTCCTCAGAGGTAGTAATACCAAGATGGAGCTTAGATTTGTTCATATTATTAAAGATCTTGCATTTTTTGAGCAAATCCATTTTCTGAAGGGATGATGTTGTTTCTACAACAATAGGTGTATTTGGAGACTTTCCTATTTTTCCGCGTACTCTATAGATGTCCTTTATTGTTTAAATTTCACGAAATAAAAAATTGGGGGTGTATATTATTTTATTTTTTCATATATAGAGATGGTCCTCCTTCTACTCTACACTCCATTTATTTCGCACAAAATCTGACATTTATCTATGTTGACTGTGAAAAATAATAATTGTAAGAGTGAAAAAATATGTTAGTATCGACAGCAATTCTAGTACACTCGTATAAAGCTAGTTCCACTCGATCTGAGCATAATCTGATCGTGTAGACGACCTCTTAAAGAATTTATTCAACAAAATACACGTCAGACTCGGCTGTATGAGCGTAGATCCTTTTGCCTTTAATTTATTTAAAGAACAACAACTGTTATATCTGAATTTACCAAGAATTTTGAATTCCAAAAATAATATTCCTCATATTATGTAAATATTATTATTTTTTAGACACTGAATACTTTAGAGTAAACAGATTAAAGCTAATTTAAACTAATTACTCTGTCTTATTAGGAGTGTTATATATATTTGACATTAAATATGTGACCAAATATGTTTTGTGATGGTACTCCAGTTAATTCCAAACGATAAACATGAATAAAAATTTTCATCGAATGTCATTGTAAAAAGGCTTATATATTAACAATGTCTCGAAGATCGATATTATTGCTTGCCGCAACTGTAGTGTTGTTGTACTTTTCTATTATACTTTTCATGTTAAGTCCTCTACACGGTAGTAAAAGTGGTTATTACAGCAATAGCTACATGAGTCATTTTGGACTACGTCAGGCGCCGAGTGTAAATTGGTGTAAAGAACTACATGTGCGATCACCACCTTTGCCTTACGCCGTAGCACTTGTCTCTTATCCCGGTAGTGGAAATACATGGCTACGATACCTCTTGCAGCAAGCTACAGGTAATTTGCTTTGATAAATAAACAATTACAATACTCATAAATTTCTTACATAATTTTAAACAAAAAAATAACTAGAAAAAAATAAAAATAAACATTTTGTATGTGTTTCTTGAATTGTTAACCTCCTTATAAAGTCTGTGTTTGACCCATTTGGCCATGTTAGGGCAATGGCTGCACCCTCATACCCTGAACTACTACCAGTTTTTCTGGGATGATTTAGATTGAGATTGATACTGAGCTGCTGTTTGAGATTGCTGGGTGGATGTGGGGATTAGATTAATTGCCCTCAGCCTTAAGTACAGCGTAGACTTTAACTTTGTTTATGGCAACCCTTATTTTAATTTAGTCTTAAAGACATTAATGGCAGAGTTAAATAAATTAGTTTTTTGATTTGTTTATACAGTAAGCATAAGCTAAACAGATTAATTCCCAAGGGTGAAAAATATGTGTAATGATTAATTTTATCCTTCAAATGTGTATGTAAAATCAATAGTAATAAATACATTCAATAAAGATAACTTATATTATGTCTGAAGTTCAGTAATCCCAATGTTGCTTATATTGGATACTTCAAAATTACTGCATGCAAAATTTTACCTTTTTAGACCCCCCCCCCCCCCCCCCCTTTTCGTTACTCTATGACACATTTTCTGCGACCCCCAATTTTTATTGATATTACACCAAGATTTACGTTTTGACTTTTGATAGTCTGTAAAGGGAAAGGTTTTTTGCTAAAGCACAAGGCAAATCATCCCATTTCTTTTCATAGACATTTCATAGCTTCCAAAGATTTGTTCATGTACATTTTTTACCAGCGGCAAAGTATGCTTTGTATGCATGGATTTAAATTATAGAGAAGAGAAAGTTACAATTTTTCCTAAGACTACATTAGTTTTGAGTATGATCTACAGCTGAATTGTGTTAGTCCATACCTACCCTATTGGTCTCGGAGCTCATGACACATATTTCATGAAGTGTTTGATGCATCATGAAACTTTTTTGAACAGTATCAGTCCACTCAATAAGCACGTATTTGACTGCCTGGCCTACCTGGGTACACCTGGTACTTCACATACATGTAAGTTGCAAAAAAATACATCCCAAAAAAAGTGTTTGATTCAATAATAATCAATTTAATAGTATTAATAATGATTATCCGTCAGCTAAGTTGACAAAGAATTACGAAAAAAAATGACAGACACTTCTGAAGGGGTTGACATAGGGGCAAACTACCCCAAAGTTGTATTTTCGAAAATAAAAAAAAATGTTTGATTTAATCTGCCATTTTTACAGTGTTTTTTATATATAATAATAAATTCTCGTAACAGGGCTGACAGTTTCTCCGGTTGTTAATAATTTAAAAATATTTAAATAAAACTGATCTACTCACTGGTTACATGCTTTACCACCAAGTAATTTCGGCACATTACTTGATGGGGAAAGCTTGGGCATCGCTGTAGGAATCCGAGTAGGAGCTTCGATTTGTCAACCCTATCAGTGGGCCTGTGGTAGTAGCGTCGACGAGTTTGGGCTCCACGGACTTTCATGTAAGAAAACTGCTGTTAGGTTTTCACGGCAAGGTTCTTACGGTTTAATGTCATCCGAAGGGCTCTTGTCACTATAAATGTTCTCCTCATACATACCCTATTGGTCTCAGAGCTCATGACACATATTTCATGAAGTGTTTGATGCATCATGAAACTTTTTTGAACAGTATCAGTCCACTCAATAAGCACGTATTTGACTGCCTGGCCTACCTGGGTACACCTGGTACTTCACATACATGTAAGTTGCAAAAAAATACATCCCAAAAAAAGTGTTTGATTCAATAATAATCAATTCAATAGTATTAATAATGATTATCCGTCAGCTAAGTTGACAAAGAATTACGAAAAAAAAATGGCAGACACTTCTGAAGGGGTTGACATAGGGGCAAACTACCCCAAAGTTGTATTTTCGAAAATAAAAAAAAATGTTTGATTTAATCTGCCATTTTTACAGTGTTTTTTATATATAATAAAAAAATCTCGTAACAGGGCTGACAGTTTCTCCGGTTGTTAATAATTTAAAAATATTTAAATAAAACTGATCTACTCACTGGTTACATGCTTTACCACCAAGTAATTTCGGCACATTACTTTATGGGGAAAGCTTGGGCTCTTGTCACTATAAATGTTCTCTCAGCTTTAGAGCCTTGTGGAGTATTTAGAGACGATGGCAGGAGACTCAACGGTATGACATTGGTCCCTTGGGAGAGAGGTAAAGCCATGCTACTTGCGTAGACACTTTGGTGGCCTCTCATCTCAGGGTTACCACGTTTAGAGCCGGGGCGGCATCAGAGGCAGCTGAACTGAGTAAGACTACCTACATATTTGTGCCTTTTGCTGTAGAGACTATATCAGACCGTGGGGACCACGTGCGGTGGAATTCCTAAAGGTAGTCTATCCGCGACTGGTTGTTGCTGCTGGTGATAAGAGGACTGGTTCTTTTCTCGCTCAAAGGCTAAGTTTAGCCATTCAGCAAGGAAACACAGCCAGCGTTCTTGGTACGATAATATGGCGAGTAGGGCTGTATGATAATTAAGTTATAGTATATATCTTGCATGGACAGGAGACAAATGTGCTACGGGTCATAATGAGTTTGACAAAGAGTGACGATTGCCAATATACTCTTAGTCATTCTTCTTGAATTAAGAACTATCAATCCAAAATAGTGTATTTAACTGCTCATTTTAATGTAAAATTACACACAAACTGAAAAAATATTTAAGAAAATGTGGTTACAGTCACAATGCGCATTAAAGGTTAGACGAAAATTCTTGGAGTAAACACTATCTTGTCGCTACAGCTGTTCAAGGTCACGTGATCTGCAGCCAATGGGAGCGCAAAGAATGACTAAGGGCATATTAGCGACTGTCACTCTCTGTCGCACTCATTACAACACGTAGCACATTTGTCCATGCAAGATTTTTTAAATTATTAACCCCTGGAGAAACTGGTCTGCCCTTTTGTGAGAATTTTTCATTATATATAATAAACACCCTGTAAAAATGGCAGATTAAATCAAACACTTTTTTTGGAATTTTTGAAAATACAACTTTGGGGTAGTTTGCCCCTATGTCAACCCCTTCAGAAGTGTCTGCCATTTTTTTTCTTAATTCTTTATCAACTTAGCTGATGGATAGTCATTATTATTAATAAACACTTTTTTGGGCGAATTTGTTTGGAACATACCTGTATGCACAGTACCTGGTGTACCCAGGTAGGCCAGGCAAACAGTTAAATACCTGCTTATTGAGTGGACTGATACTTTTAAACAAAGTTTCATGATGCATCAAACACTTCATGAAAAATGCATCATGAGCCCACGGACCATATAATATGTCCTTCTCTGTTAAAAAAGTGATGTCTGTCCTCAAAACCGGAAAGAATTTTTTAATGAATAATAAAAATTGTAAATAATTTTTCAGGTATATTGACTGGTTCAATCTACATGGATTATGGTCTGCGAGTTCATGGATTTCCTGCTGAAAATGTTACAGATGGGTCAGTTCTTGTTGTGAAAACCCATGAAGCTCCACCAGTTGAGCCTGATAAGTTTAAATCGGCCATATTGTTAATAAGAAATCCTCGTGATGCTATTTTGGTAAACAATATTTCCTTCTTGTCCTGCTTCTCCCCTCAGTCGAATTTTAAAATATGAAATATGCATTATTTTTATTCTTTTATTGAAAGATTAGCCCCTACTTCTCATATGGGGTACCTGTGGTGGCCGAACTCAGTTCAATTGGTCATGCTGGTCCCCATTCAACATATTTGGATGAATTTACACTAGTAAATCGTCGTCTTTTGTAATGCATACGGCAAAAGAGTGGAATAGTTTGCCGGCGTCTATCTTTCCATCCGAATACAATCTAGGTGTCTTCAAGGCAAGACTGAATAGGCTTTTGTTACGATAAGACAGTGCGATTTACCATCTAAGGCTGCATCACCAATTACCACCAGGTGGGATTGTGGTCAAGCACTGGCTTATAATAAGTAAAAAAAAAGTGAGATCCTCGTTTACATTTACCATGTAATGGCGATATAAGAATATCTACTATCCTTATCGCCCCATGAGTGTTCTAACAGAGGAAAACAAACCAGGAGATGAAGAAAAAAAAAACAAAAAACATCTTTAGATATTAACTTGCCTGCCAAGTGTGGTAACTATTAATCTTTGAGGTAATGTAAGGAGGAGGCCATAGGCCTGAGTAATAGACTGGTTCAGCACTCGAATTTCGATAAGCTATAGAGGTAATGGTAAGATCCTCATTCGTTATTTAACTGGATGCGCTACATCCTCTTAAAGTTAACAGTTGTGGGAGTTGTTATTAATAAAACCTGTTATTAAAATGTATAGAAAATATTTTAGATGTCTAAAATATTGGCAAACATTGGCCGTCTATAACTTGGCAAGTTTAAATATTTAATAAGTTACGTGTAACATGATGATGTATAGAAAAATTTAAGTTTCTTCATAAAGAGCATTTAGCCACGTACAGGAATTGCAAACTCGATAAATCCTATTTTGCTAGACATCTTTTGGACACTCAACACAATCAAGCCAATGACCACTCCTTTGAAATCTTACATACTTACGTTTTTTATACAAGCAATTTAGTTGGAAATTAAACTTGCCAATTTACAAATTTGATATAAAAAAATGTAATTTTTTTTAAATAAAATGTGGAATGTATTACATTCCTAGAGATATGGTTTAAAGAACTACTTTAGATCCAACTCTTTTGAGGATGAAGCAGACAAACCCAAGCATAGTTTGTACTGAACTTGCCCCCTTTTCACGTTTATGGTTTAGAAACGATCGCACTAATAACTTTGTTGAATGTTGACAATTTATAGTTTTTAGATTTTTATTTCCATTTGACAGGTGCATTTTTTTATTGTTGTTATTAAGTTGTATCTGGAAGATGCAGTTTTAACCATCTCCTGTTCTGTGTCGCCTCTTACGCAACTCACGGGATGATATGGGGTGGTGATTTCCACTGCTGCACATGACATTTTTTGTATACCTTGATGCCAAATTTCACGTTTTTAAGTCCCCTAAAATTGATCTAGGTTCTTGATAAGTGAGTTGCTGCATGATGAAAATGGCACTTTTTCGGATCATAAATTTAATTCATGAAATTTATGATTCTCAGTGTTCAGGATGCTTATTAAACAAGAAAAATAATTGCGAGTGTGTGGATTGATTGTTTTTGAGATATGGCGTTCGAAATTCGAAAGTAGCTCGAAATTAGAACACTGCTTTGTGTTTAGATTTTATGCAAAATTTTTAATTTACCTAAAAATTGTCTTTGGAACCTCCTTGAAAAATTTCGCCTGTCCTTTTTTGTATCTTTTTTGTTTGTTTATTAATTGTAACTAAAATATTTGTGTTGTTTTTTTTTTAATTTATGTTGTTAATTGTAAGTAACCTGCATGCTTAAATGTTTTTTTAGTTTCAGTTGTTGTGCTGCTGACAGTTTTCAATACAATAGCTTTCAGCTTTCGCTACTATATAATAAATGGTAAATATTTTGTCTATGTTTATGTTTTCAGTTAGTGATTCATATGCTTGTTATTTATTTTGTTGACCTTTATTAACAAATCCAACATTTTATAAAATTTTACACCTTTTAAAGTGAAGTATAAAAAAAACTACATTTTCTAAATGCAAGGGCACTTTTTTTTAGGCAGATTTTAATCGGCTTCACAAAGGACACATTGGTTCCGCTCCGAAGTCGGCTTTTAAAAGAAAGTCACGTGAACGAAAGAAAACAGGTACAATATGTTTTTGAATAATATAAAACAGATATTTTCTCTGGAGCCATAAAGTTGTAGTAGGAATGAGTCAGATCAATCGGGGAAGGACTACGCTCTCGCACAAAACCAGAGTAAGATAGCAGCTTAAAGCTGCTGTGTTTCGTGAGAATAGAGTACCAAAGGTCCTTTTTGCTGAAAACGAGGCATTCCGTCTCAGTCCTCAGGGGTGGTAACACATCTGCATTTTGATTCGCAAACGAGGATAGATGTAGATGTCTATGAGCCACAGCAACCACTTACCTTCAGGTGGACTGTGTGCTCGTTTGTCACCCTATCCTATAAAAAATCTATTACTTTATAGCTTTCATTAGTAGCGATAAGAAATGTTCAGAGGTCATCATACCTGGCAGGTATAGTATTCATAACGCCAAAGATTCTGTAGACCATCTTTTAAATTACAATTAACACTGCCAATTCTATTACAGATTGGTCGTCATATGTTTCAACACAACTGAAGGCATGGGAGTCGTTGCACAATTTGTGGCTGACGAAGTTTCGAGGACCATTCCATATAGTGTTTTATGAGACATTGGTACAGGATACTGAAAAAACACTGCAAGGAATACTGAACTTTCTGAATTTTACCATAACTGAGGTTAGTTATAAAACACTTATATCTTAGTCATCTTTATATATATATATATAAATTAAATAAAAGTGTCTGTGTGTAATATTGTAGTAATTTTCTTTATTTTTTTGCGATGTCACAAAATTATAAAACTAATTGACCTTAAATGTAAATAGCGTTACATTAATTGATCCCACCCAGGAGGAGGCTGGGCACGTGGCTAGTCTTATCTATGAGTGTTGATTATGTAGTTAGTATTAGTACATAGTGTCCTAGCAGATATGTTATTATTTTTTTGGATATTGCTCAATAATCAATTCAAAACGCTAAACATGATTCTTATTCATTTTTCTTAGTATGTATAATTTTTATAAAAGAAATAATTATCTTTATTTAAATTATAATATGATATTGTAAGTATATATTTTAGGTTTATATTTTATTGAAGCGACACTAGCCTAATGGCAGGGTGCGGACTGCCAAATCAAAAGTCATGGGTTCGAATCTGCCATTTAACTACTGTCATGAACCACTTTTAACACAAGCATTTTTATCTTACCAGGAGCGGTTAAGGGAATCTTAGTAATGTTGCGAGCATTAGCTAGTATTTTTTAAATAAAAAAAATTATTAAAATTTTTTTTTCCTATTTTCTTAAATAACAGGATGACATGAACTGTGTGTTGTTGAACAAAGAAGGCATCTACAGACGTAGGAAAAAATATCAAGACTTTGACCCATTCACGTCAGACATGTACAGACGGCTGGATATAGTTAAAACCAAGGTATATAAAACCATCGAAATATACAGAAAGAGATATAACAGCACGGATGTATAGGCGAAATTCCTTGGGTACCTATTTTCTACCTTAAAAATCCTAATATCAGTATTATTGTGTCTCGAGTAGAGAAAGTATTAGGAAATCCTTTAACCCAACTTAGTTTTTAGACAATTCCATTCCTTTTAACAACCACTTAGTGTTTGTTTGAGTTTGATTCCAATATTAATATTTTGGTAGTTGTTAATATTATGTGTAGATAAGATTTACTCAGTTATCATGTTCTTCATCTTCGTTTCCCCATTCACCTTCTACTTCTCCCCTTTGTAAGCAGCCGGCATGAACAACTTAAAGGATTTGCTTATATTCACCTTGCTTGGCTGACGATTAAAGGTTGGTGGGGATCAGTATAGTTTCAAGTTAAAACCTCACCAGCTCGCGGTGCCTCCCACTAAATGCTGGAAATGTTACATCCTCCATACACCATCCAAAGAGCTTGGAGGTGTAAGAGTTTACTATAAATGAGCTATAAATTGTATTATAAATTTATTGTTCCATTAAACGGTACTAAAGTGTATTGCTAGTCACAATTTACAATGTTAAAATGTCAAATGTAGAATTAACTGAAAAATTAATTATCACTGAAAACTTGGAAAATTTGTACTGAATGAGTGCTTCTGTTTAATTTTTATGTTATTAAAGTTGTATTATATATGATATAATATCGACGTACTTAATAAGCAAGAAAGAGTGCTTTTTGTTTTTTATATATCACAAATCGATTATTGTTTTTGTTAAAGCTTATGTTATATTTACTTGTTGAGTTAGTAGTAAAAGTTTTAAAATAAGAAAATATATTGTGATATTAGGCGATTTTAATGGAAGGGTTGGGGTGAGGAGGCTTGGTTATGAAAGGATATTGGGAACGTTTGGTGATGAAAGTATAAATGAAAATGGTGAAAGCCTTCTCGCCGTATGCGTGGAAAAGAATCTTGTTGTGACGAACACTTTGTTTCGTCATAAGAAGATTCACACGTATACATGGGAAAGAGGTGATGATAGAAGTATGATAGATTTCATAATTGTTGATGAAAGAATGAGGAGCGCGGTGGTAGATACAAGGGTTTACCGGGGCTCTAACGTAGGGACGGATCATTACTTGGTCTTATGCCGAATTAATGGTCTTTTCAGACGTTGGAGGCATCGGACATCTGTGTCTACCACAGCGTTACAGCGTATAAAAACAGAGAGGCTACAAGATGAAGGTGTGAAAGAGAAGTTCAAATGTAGATTGAGAGAAAATATAAGTGGTATGGCTGAATTGTGTATGAATGATTTAGACTTGGAGACTGTGTGGTATAATGTCAAGAAAGGTTTAGTGGATGCAGCTACCGAAGTATGTGGTGTAAGCAAGAGAACAAATGAAAGGAAAAATAACACGTTATGGTGGGATGATGAGGTACGGATGGAAGTTGAAGCAAAGAAGAAAGCATGGCTAGATTTACTAGCAACCAAGGCTAGTAATTCTAGCAGTATGAATGATGATATTGAAAGGAAAAAGGCGGTTTTTAGACACCTAAATAAGAGAGTAAAAGAAGTAGTTGAAAGGAAAAAGCAAGAAAGAACGGATAAGAATGATAGAAGAATATCGGATAACTTCCAGGAAAACATTAAAATGTTCTGGAAACTCGTAAGAACTACCAGGGGACATTCACAACAGCCTAGAATGAATGCTATACGAGACCAGAATGGCTGTATTCTGAATGACGAAGTTTTGAGTTTAAGGAGATGGAAGGAATACTTTGAAAGCGTGTTTATGAGTGATGAGACGTTTGAATTAAATGAAATAGAAATTCCGAAAGAAGAGGAAATAGATAGAGATATAAGTATAGATGAAATAATGAAAGCAATGAAAAGTATGAAAGTAGGTAAGGCAGCTGGTTATGATAGAGTATCTCTCGAAATGCTAAGGGCTGGAGAAGGAGTGGTGGCAGACCTGCTGTACACCTTGTTTAATTTATGTTGGGAACTTAAGCGGGTACCGGGAGACTGGTGCAAAGCCGTGATAGTCCCAATATATAAGGGAAAAGGATCACAGCAGGACTGTAAAAACTACCGTGGTATCAGCCTTCTTAGCATTGTGGGAAAACTGTATGCTAAGGTACTAATTGAAAGAGTTATGAAAGAAACTGACGGAAAAATTTGGGATGTGCAAGCGGGATTTAGAAAGGGAATGGGATGTACGGATCAGGTCTTTTCCATGCGCATGATCGCCGAGAAGTTTTTGGCCAAAAACCAAAAAGTTTTTTGTGCGTTCATGGACTTGGAGAAGGCTTATGACAGAGTGGACAGGGATGTGTTATGGCAAACACTGAACTCATTTGGGTTGAGCGCTGGTCTGATACAGGCATTGAAGTCTCTATATAGGGACTCTAGTGCTTGTGTCAGGATCAACGGGGCCTACTCGGACTGGTTTGACATCCATAAAGGTGTCAGACAGGGCTGTGTGGCTTCCCCGTGGTTGTTCAACCTGTTTATGGACAGTTGTTTGGAAAATTTGAAAGTAGAAGAATGCGGGTTAAGAATGGGTGAGTTAACCGTCAAATGCCTTTTGTACGCCGATGATCAAGTCATACTTGCGTCGTCGGCAGCCGAGTTGCAAATGATGGTTACATTAATGAACAGGACATTAAAAGAAAAGGGAATGAAAGTGAACGCAAGTAAGACGAAAGTTATGGTTTTTGAAAGAGAAGAAAGTAAAACGATATGTGAAATAAGAATAGAAGGGGAGTTGGTAGAGCAAGTAGATGAGTTTGTATATTTGGGATGTGTGTTTAGCAGGGATGGTAGATATGATAAGGATATAGAACGACGAGTGAATGCAGGAAATAGAGTGAATGGGGCTCTACACTCTATTGTGAAAAGTCAGAATGTGTCCAAAAAGGCACGTATGGCAATTCACAATGCTGTGTTAGTACCTACTTTAATGTATGGTAGTGAAAGTTGGGTGTGGCAGAAGAAGCATGAGAGTAGAATAAATGCTGTAGAAATGCGGTCATTAAGGAGTATGTTAGGGATGAAGCTGAATGACAGAGTGAGAAATTGTTTAATAAGAGAAGAGTGTGGTTTGCAAGATGATGTTGTGACCAGGATTAAGAAAGGAATGCTTCGGTGGTTTGGCCATGTAGAAAGAATGAATGAGGAAAGAGTGACAAAGCAAATTTATGTTGCAGAGGTGAACGGCATAGTCGGGAAGGGTCGCCCTAGGCGAAAGTTTATCGACCAAATTGGCGATATATTAAAAATGGGCCAAATCAAGAGTACCTTTAACCGACGAGCGTGTATGCGTAGGTATATGGATGTGGAGGAAGCGAGAGAGGTGTGTCAGGATCGTGCCAAATGGAAGTCCATAATCTCTGCCTACCCCTCTGGGTGACAGGCGTGAGTGTTTATGTGTTTATGTTTTTTAAGAAAATATAATGATTTAGTGAGATGTTCCTTTACGTAAAACGTGCTATATAAAATATACTTTATATAAAATAAGGTCAAGTTGACATAAATGTGATGCTCAATAAACTGGTGACGTTAGTAACATGTATGAGCCGTAAAGTTCATAAATCGAGACTATGGAGGGTAGACGCAAGTATGACTCATGTTCAGATGTATTATATATTGTTATGCCAACAATATATAATATACTTGAACAATAGGTATATAATAAATTTGTAAAATCTGATTTCAGTCATAAATTGTTTCGTATCGGTATCCTAACTAGACAAATCGATTTCACAAAACCACGGTATAACACGACAAAACTAAATCGACCTTGCAATTGTTTGCTACGTACAAAAATTGAAATTAGTTTCCTCTTTTTCTAACTAAACAAGCGTTTGCGGAGTGAACAAGATGAAGCGAATTTTACTACACTTGAAATTTATATTTTGGCGGTTTCCAGGTTAGGTGAATTGGACATTGAAATATAGAACTACAGTGGAAAGCAATAAGATCTCATTTACATTGTGACTGTTATAATAATTTAGGTGCTCGCTTTTCTAATTGCGATGCGACGTTCTCTGCCGAAATGTACTTAGAGAGATTTGCGCAAGCAAGAATTCTTTTACGTTTGAATAGTTTTTGTGAAAATTAGCAATGTCCGTAAACTGTCAATTATTGTTATAGAATCACGTCCTGCAGAATCCGAATCCGAAGCAGATCCTGAAATCAGTTTCTAAAATTGATTAAAAATTAATCGGTTTCAAAATCCAAAATCGGATATATATTATCTCCTTCGATCATCATTTGCAAAAGTGTTGCCCTAAAGGCGTACGATAGTAGTTCAATAAGTATAATGACGTCAGCAATCCGGATAACGTCTGTAGTTGGCGATTACCCAATAACTACACTTAGTTTGCCGAATTGGTAAAGAGAAGAAACTCGCGTCGAGACGTGATTGATGTGATATAATTTCTTTAATATTGTAAAAAAATATTTATTAAATATGATGAAAATGTTGCGTACAGTGGACAGTATTAGTGTTTGCAAAAAGAAATCGGAAAATTAACGAAGTGCGAAAGCATTTCTTGGCACGTAGAGTCTTCCTTACCCCTACCCTTCGCGATCGAGTAAGGTTCGAAAGAGAATTTATATCGATCACAATTCGGTAGCTTCGGCTTTGTAGAGCGTTATTACTGTCAATCGCACCTCTGCGACCAGTTGTCGTTACTTCTCAGATTTTCCACAAGTTTCTTAGGATTTGGTCGCATTCACTTAGTAGTACCTACATATCATTACAGAGTTGTAAGTTGCTGATAACCTACATATCATTAAAGAGTTGTAAATCTTGTGTTATAAAACAAGTTTCTTACTAATTTAAAAATAATGTGATTTTAAATAAGTAAATTACAAGTCCTTTTATAGATACTGAACTTATATTACTTCGTGCGACAGAGACAACGCTTTACGAAGACGTATACTTATAACCGACCGTCTCTTTCGAAGGTTCGATGTGCAATATTTATCGGCCGGATGTAATGGCGCGTCTCCACCAAAGTTTTCAACAT